ATATATATATATATGTATAGTATGATCCCGGTTCTCGGTTCGCCGACCCCCCGCCCCATAATATCCCCCCGGCAGCCCCAGGTCCAAGTATGCCGAATCCCTATGGACTGTGCGCTCTTCTCCCACATGGCGGCTCCAAACCATCAACTGTCACGAGGATCTCGTCCCAAACACACCCGATCCTTGTGACAGTGGACACGTTCCACCCAGGACTCTGCCATGAGCGTATTGAAACTTGAAAATGCAGCTGTCACCAGGATCGCGCGCGTTCCTGTCAGGCCCGCTTCCTGTCGCAGTCGACAAAAGAAAGGAACAGGATGAGGATGAGGATGAGGATGACGACGATGATGATGATGATGACGATTTCGAAACAGCCAGGGCGACCCAAACCGCGAACCACACCACGGCGGAGGGACTGAGAGCAGACCCAAACCCCGAACCACACCACATCACACCACACCACAGCGGGGGGGAAGGGGTACCAACCATTGCGGGGAGGGGCGGGGCCCGGCCGAACCGGGATCATATATATATATATAGTTTGTTATTTATAGTTTTTGTTTTTATATGTGGCACCGCCTTGTCCCTAATATGTGTTCGGGACCCTTGGTCGTTGCGTCTCTGGGAAAGCAAGTCTTTGTTTACCATGCTTCTGGCTCCCGAGGCTTCTAAACTTAGGGTGTACCGGATGTCTCTTAACTCAGGGTTCACTATGGTTTTTGCTCCCGAGGGTTCTCCAAATTCACGGAAATTCTTGGAAATGTTGGTAAAATCGAAAGTGTCCATGATTTGTCTGTGGGGAATCATGGAAAATGTTGGTTTGACCAACGTTTCCAACAATTTCCATGATTCCGGAAACTATGGCTCCGGTTTTTGAGGTTTCTCCAAATTCACGGAAATTGTTGGACATGTTGAACCAACATTTCCCATGATTCGTCTGTTGGCATTCATGGAAAATATAGGTTTTACCAACGTTTCCATGTTTACCGAAACTATGGCTTCGGCTCCCGAGGTTTTTCCAATTTCATGAAAATGGCGGAAAATGCCGGATTTGCCAACATCAGGTAAGTATTTCCAAACGGTGTTATCGACATTTGTGTGATTGGTGACATCTTATGTACCCAGGCGATGTGTGTTTGCAAAATGGGCCGGTAAGGTATTCACATCATCGATTAAATTCAGCAGTTTGTGCAACACGAAACTACGTAAAATATCTGCTTGAAGACGTTACTGTGCGAACAGCAGTTCATTGTTTTTCGGCTCATCCAGCACAGAGCTGTACTTCATGTCTACGATTAAAACGTTACCACAGGAAAACTAGCTGTGCAAACATGCGTATGCTGGTTTAATCACACACGTCCTGAGACAAATGTATATGGTAACGACTTGTGTCATATGTTGCTTGGTGCTTGCATGGGGGGGCTTTAGTCGTTGTGTTTAGCCATCTCTGTGTGTGGCTTGATGTGCTTTCAAAAATAGCCCAAGGGTACTGAATGGTAGGTTTATTAAATTATACTCATCAAAATGTATAAACTCAGCAAGTAGTGGTTATTGTTAAAAAAGCTTTCTGATCGATATACGAAGTAGCTGACACAGTGAATTTTATTCAAAAATGATAAGAAAACGTGATGTAATAATGTTAATTCGGCAAGTATTGATGAAGTACAAGAACTACGGTAACAGGAGTTGCGGCAATGGTAACAAGACGTGATAACAACATTGCTAGACGTAATACTAAAGCCACGCTCGGTTTTTGAATTCGGCATAGAAGAACAGATTATGTAGCAGTTTAGACATTGCTTAAAAAACGGAGATCGGATTCCTAAGGCGACGAAGACTATACTTCCAGTAATGATACCGAAACCTACAAGTATCATAGCGGGCCACGAACTGCTACCATTGGTGCTATTGACGGCTAATTTGACGGATACGCATGAACCATTGTGCAGTGATGCGAAGACTCCAAGATTTTAACAGGCATGACACTATCTGACACTGCGGCTTATCCCGTATATATATTGCATAAAGCCATGAACTCACTGATTCGTGTAGCAGACGGCGCAACCCAAAAAAACACTGACATTGTTGTGTATAAACAAGTGGACGTTCAATGAACGTGTGTGTGTGTAAAAACGATAACGGCAGCCAACTAAACATAGTCACTATCCACCTTGAAACGAAATCTGCGTGGGTGGCCACGGGGATGCTACAGTAAGATCCCATGCCGTGCACAGTTCTTTGCTTCAGTGAGCTTCAGTAGGCCTGATTCGCGACACCCCCACTCGCTCACCACTGTATGTCGGCTCCTCGCGACCACCGGCATCGTTGACAAAACAGCTTTCCTATACCATTCCTTGCTTATTTCTTCTTGCTTCGTGTGCATCCACTCGCAGCCTTTTCTGTCCGATTTCTTCCGTGCTTGCTCATGATGCTCAAGCAAACATATAGGTTGCTTTAGGCACAGACTTTTGCGACACAACATCCATAATTCATGGCCGACCCATGCTTGCGACATGCCGCACCCCCCGCTTTACTTAAGCAAAGCATCAGCATAGAAACGAAAACCTAGGTACCGGAGGGGGAGGGTGGGCAGGGGTAGCATGCATATATATATATATATATTTATTATCTGTGAGCCGTGGTGGCTCTGGTGTCTCTGCTTGTCTACCTTCGATATGGATCTCGTGAGTCTCACTTTGTTCTCCGAAGCTAATGCGCTCGATGCTTTGTTGTGCAGAGCCAGTGTGCCCTGAAGCTTCTGAGACCTGCCAAACCCTGGCCTGCTTGTCGAGTGCGAGTGCCAAAAAAAAATATATATATATATATATATGTATCTATCTACATATGCTTGCATATGAAAAAATTGAATACAGCAACTTCTGCACATTCTTGAATCGTTCGGAATGTGCGGAATTAACAACTTAAAGAATCCAGAACATGTAATTACGGAACATTCTTCAATTTTCATCGTCCAAAATTCCGGTAAAAAAACGCAAAAAACTGTATTCTTTAGATTGTGAAGCTGTCCGGAATTTTCCATTTAAAGAACTTTCATGCAATCTTGTAAACATGTAAATGTTTCCAGCTGGGTCCCCCAGCCTCCAGCCCCAGCCCCCCTAATTGACATGTTTAAATTCTGTAAGTTTGTAAATCGTCCGGATTTCCAATCTTACAGAATTTACAGAATTCATTAATTTTACAAGCCCAGCCCCCCAGCCCCAGCCTTGCCCCACCCTCAGCACCCAGCCTCAGCCACAGCCTTAGCTATCAAGCCCTCGGCCCTCAGCCGAGTCTCAGGCTCAGCTGAGCCTCAGCCCAGTCTTAGCCTGAAGAACCAGTTCAGGACAGCCCCGCCCCGACAAGCCCACCTCCAGCACTGCCCCCCTCCACAGCCAAGTCCCAGCCCCCAGCCCTACCCGGCCCCAGCCCTCAGCGCACCCAGCCAATCCCCCAGCGCCCCCCCAATCCTCCGCCCCGCAGCCTCAAGCCCAGTGCGTTTTCCGCCAATGAGGACGGCGAAGGGCGGTTCATCGATAGCAAATAGTTTTCTGAAGCGTTTCCTTTCAGCAGATTTGGTGCCATAGAACCGCTGCAGTCTCCATACCTGAAGACAGCGGTTCGATAACACCAAGTTTTCCGAAGCGAACCGCTGTGTTATGTGTTGCAAACACGGACAACAAGCAGGAGTGGCTCGATAGCACCAAGTTTTCCGAAGGGAGTCGTTTGAGAAACTTTGGTGAAATCGAACCGCTGCGTTTTCCGACAATGAGGACAGCGAAAGGCGGCTCGATAGCACCAGCTTTTCTCAAGGGTTTCCTTTCAGAAGGTTTGTGCCATGGAACCGCTGCATTTGCCATACCTGAAGACAGCGGTTCCATAGAACCAAATTTTCCGAAGGATTTGCCCCAGCCCAGCAGCCAGCCCCAGCCCAGCCGAGCCTAGGCCCTCGGCCACCAGTGCGAAACCCAGCTCATTCCGTCTCAGCTTTTTAATCCGAATAAAAATTCAAAGAGCGAAAAGAATATTCTGACCATTCCCCAGCCTCTCCATCGGCGGCCCACAGCCGCAGCCCCCAGCCTCCAGGCCGTGGTGGCAGGCGTCCCAGCCCCAACGCCCCACACCCGCTCGCGCCCCAACGCCCTTCAGCCCGTAGCCTCTGCACCAGCCCACCCCTCCCTGTTTTTTAGGGATCCCTTGGCTCAACAAGCAAATTGCGGATTCAGCAAAGGTAGGTTTCCGAGATGCAAGCTTCGTGGCTTGTTGTAAATAGTAAAATAGTAAATCGTAGAAAAGTATAGTACTGAAATAGTGAAGCAGTAAAATCTTGGCTCCACCGGTCCGAGATGCAAACAGCTGGGGTCGTGGTAGAGTAGTAGAATAGTAGGTAGTAAAGTAGTATATTTTACAAAGGTAGAATAGTGTAGCACTAAAATAGTAAAATAGTAAAATCCTGGCTCAACATGCAAGGTGGTGTTTTCGAGATGCGAACGGCTGGGGTCGTGGTAGAATAGTATAACTATAAATAGTAAAGTAGTAAATAGTAAATAGCAAACAGTAGGATAGTACAGTACTGAAATAGTCAAACAGTAAAATAGTAAAATAGTGTAATCCTGGCTCAACGGGCACAGGTGGGTTTCCGAGATGCAAACGGCTGGGGTCGTGGTGGAAAAGTATAATAGTAAATAGTAAAGTGGGACATAGTACGATAGTAAATCGTAGAAACCATAGTACTGAATAGATAAATAGTGAAATCCTGGCTCAACATGCAAGGTTGGGTTTCCGAGATGCCAATCTGCTAGGTGCCATGCATCTCGGGCGCGAGCCTTGTATCTCGGAAACCCAACCTTGAGTGTCGAACGCTGGCCAGCCTCACACCCCAGCCTCTCATCCCCCTCCAGCCTCTCTCCACTCCCTTCATCCACCCGGCCACCCACACCCAGGCTTCACCCGGCCCTTCAGCCCCTTCAACAAAACTGCAAGGTTTTTTGTAAACCCTTGCCCTTGTCCTCTTCCAACAGCAAAACTACATACAAGTTTTTTTGGTTTCCTCTAACAGCAAATCTACAATTGTTTTTTGAATTCTTGTCCTCCAGCAACAAAACTGCAAGATTGTTTGTAAACCCTTGTCCTGCTCCAGCAACAAAAGTGCAAGGTTTTTTTGACTTTTTGTAAATCTTGTCCCCCTGCAACAACAGAACTGCAAGGTTTTGTGCAAGCCCGTGTCCTCTTCCAACAACAAATCTGCAAGGTCAACCCTTGTCCTCCCCTTGTCCAGCAACAAAACTGCAAGGTTTTATGTAAACCCTTATCCTCCTCCAACCACAACACTGCAAGGTTTTTGGTGAAACATTGTCATCCTCCAACAGCAAGACTACAAGGTTTTTTGGTAAACGCCTGTCCTCCTCCAACCACAAAACTGCAACGTTTTTTGTAAACCTTTGTCCTAGCCTCTCTCCACTCCTCCTTTCAGGCTGGCAGCAGCTTCGCCGAGTCCCTCAGCCCCAAAGGGCCTGCAGGGAGTTCCTCGCTCTTGTCCCTTCCTTTCTTGCTTCTCAGTCTATTTCTCCGTTTTCCTTTCTGTTTCCTTCCTGGCTCCTACCTTTCTGCCAGATGAGAGAATCGAAGAAAGGAGAGTGAAGAAGAGAACATGTTTTTGTCTTCCTCCGCAAGTTCTTCCTGGTTTATCGCCAATGAGACAGTGAGACAGGAAAAGGACAAGGAATGAACAGATGCGGAGGGCAACGCGCTTTCGGCTGCTTTCTTCATCGCCTCCTCTTCTTTCCACACTCGCACTTTTTTTTCTTTCCCTCTCTCTCTCTCTGTCTCTGTCTCTCTCTCTCTCTCTGTCTCTCTCTCTCGCCCTCTTTCTCTGACTGACTATCTTGCCCTCTTGCGTTCTCTCTTTGTTTTTGTCTTTCTTTCCCTGGCTCTTCTTCTCCGCTGCTCGTTCCACACCATACCTGAAAGCAGCAGTTCGATGGCGAGCCTAGGCCTTCACTCAACCTAGCAGTTAGGGCCTTCAGCTCGCAGCTCCACACTCACCCCGCCCCCGACGACTCCAGCCTCTCCGCTCCTCCATCCAGCTGGCAGCATCCACCCAGCTACCCACGCCCAGCCTTCAGCCACCCACGCTCAGCCTTCACCCAGCCCTTCTGCCCCGTCAACAAGACTGCAAAGTTTTTTGTAAACCCTTGTCCTCTTCCAACAGCAAAGCTTGTGCAAGGCTGTTTGTAAACCGTTGTCCTCCTCCAACAAGAAAAACAGCGAGGTTGTTCGTGAACTTGTCCTCCTCCAACAGCAAAACTGCAATGTTTTTGCTTAACACCCTTGTCTTCCTCCAAAAACACGTGACCGCCACCTCCAACATCAAAATTGCAAAGCCCTTGTCCTGGCCTCTCTCCACTCCTTCTTCCAGCCTGGCTGGCAGCAGCCAGCCAGCCTTCACCCAGGCCCTCAGCCCCCATGAGGCCTGCAGGAGTCTGGGGCTTATTCAGGGGGTCTGAATTTCCTAGGGCTTTCGTGGCATGGGTTCTGACCGCATCAGCATATGGCGCATCGCTTGCTAAGTGTTAGGTAGTATAGGAGCCTGACTACTTAAAGTAATGGTACTCCCTAAAACTCCTTGTTGTCATGATCCCGCAGGGTCCTACTGGCGCTACTTCAAGGTGCCGGGACTTTGCCTTGGTGTTGCCCTGCTCGCTGCCGTTTGTCAGCCATGGCCGCCATGGCCGTCGAGGACTTGGCCAGAGATTTGAGGCACGACACACTGTCGGACACGCAGGTCCTTTTTGCATCTATTCTGGGCCTCATGAGGGAGCAGACTTTGTCTTCAATAGTGTTACGTCCGGCGATCTAGCGCTTTCCTGAGCAGCTGTGCGGAAATTGGTCTGCGACGCCAGTGGCCAGCGGGCTAGGCATTTTTGGATGCCGGGGGCGATACTATGGATCAGTGATGCCATGGACCAAGACGAGATGTGGCAATTGATGCTATACACCTGGCTTGGCGCTGGAGGCGTCGATGGGCTTCCGTTGACAATGGTTTGACACGCTACAACGCAAGCTCAGAGCAAGCCATGGCAGTTATGAAGTTTGCAATGTCGTACACACATCATGTTTTGAAGGTCTTTAGCAGTGACGGTCGCGACAAGGGGCTTCGGTCTAGTAAAGACAAGTTCTTGATGCTGAAGATGTGGCATGCTTCGATTCCAGCCCTGACTGTTGCGTTCAACCTCATTTCAGGTACAGTAACTTCGTGTCAAAGATGCATGTCACTGATGGCTTTGGACAACGAGCCGTCAAAGAAGTCCTGAGCTACCTGGGTGTCTCCGGTCATGTACGGCTTCGCGCGATGACCTTTGAACTCATACCCTTCGGTCCAGGCGCAAAGAATGGTGCAACCGTGTTCTTTGGATGCGCACGGAAGCTTCTGCAGCTGGCGTTTAACTTGCAGCCCACGCGCCCAAGAGTATGTGACGAAATGCTTTCCAACTGGTAAGCTTGGAGACACTGTGCTTGGTATTGAGATTTTCCTGGTTACGGTTATGCATCTTGCAAGATGGTTCAACAAGCGCGGTCAGGCCCCGCCTTCCACCTCCTTGCTCTTATGTTCACGTCTCTCTTGTCTTATTCTTCTTTCTTTACAGGGAATCTCTCTCTCTCTCTCTTTCTTTCTGGTGCTTTTTCCATTCTTATCATGTCCTTTGTCGCTTCTCAGTCAGTCTATCTGTTGTTTCTCATTCTTATCCTTTCCCTTCTTGCTTCTCAGTCTATCTGTTGTTTCTCATTCTTGTTTTTTCCCCTCTTGCTTCTTAGTCTATTTCTCCGTTTTCCTTTCTCTCTCCTTCCCTGTTCTTACTTTTCCGCCAGACGAGAGAATCAAAGAAAGGAGAGTGAAGAGGAGAACATGTTTTTGTCTTCCTCCACAAGTTCTCCCTGGCTTATCACCAATGAGACAGTGAGACAGGAAAAGACCAATGAATGAACAGATGCGGAGGGCAAGGCGCTTTCGGCTGCTCTCTTCATTTGGCTAGAGGCACGATGCACTGCCGGAAACGGATGTCCTTTTGGCATCTATGCTTTGTCTCATGAGACCGCAGACTTTGTCTTCAACAGTGTTACGTCCGGCGATTTCCGCTTTCCTGAGCAGCTGTGCGGAAGTTGGTCTGCGACACCAGTGGCCAGCCGGCAAAGGCATTTGGATGCCGGGGGTGATGCTATGGGCCAACTATGCTGTGGACCAAGACAAGATGTGGCAACTGATGCCATATACACCTGGCTTGGCGCTGGAGGCGTCGATGGGCTTCTGTGGACACATATCTGCGCAACCGATGGTCTGACGCGCTACGACGCAAGCTCAGAGCAAGCCGTGGCAGTTATGAAGCTTGCAATGTTGTGCACACAGTTTTGTGGTAATCATGTCTTGAAGTTCTTTAGCCGTGACGGTCGCGACAAGAGGTTTCGGTTTTGTATGGTTTAGTGAAGAGAAGTTCTTGATGCTGAATGCGTGGCATGCTTCGGTTCCAACCCTGGCTGCTGCACTCAACCTCATTTCAGGTAATTTCGTGTCAAAGATGCATGACATTGATGGCTTGGGACAGCGAGCCGTCAAAGAAGTCCTGATCTACCTGCGTGTCTCCGGACATGAACGTTTTCGCACGATGGCCTTTGAACTCATACCCTTCGGTCCAGGCGCGAAGAAAGGTGCATCCGTGTTGCAGCCACGCACCCAAGAGTACGTGCCGAAATGCTTCCCAACTCATAATGTAAGCCTGGAGTTGCTGTGGTCGATATATAAAATGGGGATTTTTCTTTGCTACGGTTATACGCATTGACAGATGGCTCAACAACTACAGTCAAGCTCACGGACCTACAACGTGCCAGCTTGGTGGAGCCCGAGGGATAACAAGGCCCCTAGGCTCTTCGTGGACTGGGTTCGGGCCGCATCAGCATATGGCTCATCGATTGCAACATCTGCTAAGCGTTAGGTAGTATAGGAGCCTGATTACTTACCCAATAGACCAGCTAATCCAGAAAAGTTGTGAATCCCTTTTTTCGGGAAATATCGATATTTCTTCGTCAAAGTTAAATTGCAAAATCGATTTGCATTTTAATTTCGAAGGGAAATATAAAAATTTTTGCGTTAGATTCATATCTAAAAGCGTTTCCTCGCAAAGTCAAAACGAGAGATAGCTTCATATCCCAAATTTGCCTTCGAATCTAATTCGCGAAAGCAAAACTGCTAATGAAACTGCTTCGGTTCCCGGCCGAAACTGCTAACATGTTTTCGGTGTGTTGAAAATGTATTTGCTGCAAATCTCCAGTGTTTTAGGTGTGTGTGTGTGTTGTGTGTGTGTGTGTTTGTGTTTGTGTTGGTGTGTGTGTGTGTGTGTGTCTGTGTCTGTGTTATGTGTTTGCTTGCTTGCTTGCTTGCTGGCTTGTTTTTTAGTGTTTTCAGAGTGTGTGTGTGTGTCTGTGTTGTGTTGTGTTTCGTGCTTTTTTATATGTTGTGTTGTCTATTTGGTGTGTGTGTGTGTGTGTGCGTGTTTGTTGTGTGCATATCGTATTATGAACGAGGATGATGTATGTATGTGTGTGTGTGTGTGTGTGTGTCCGTGTGTGTTTGTATTGTCTACAAAAACACCACCAAACCGAAGAGCAGTTTAGTAGCAGTTTTGTTTTTGGAGCCCGTAAGCTGCTAACCAGAGTGCGGCAGTTTGGAAGCAGTTTGAAAGGAAGTTTAGGGGAAACTTCCGCTGAACTTCCCTTAGCAGTTTTGGTTTGAGTTAGCTTCGTGGTTAAATTTTGGCTTCGCAATTTTAGCTTTGCGCCACACGTTTTGGATATTTTGTATGCCCTCATTTTACATACGAAGGGAAAGCTAATATGTAGCAAAGTGGTTTTTTTACTTTATAGATATTTCTCACTTTTTGACTTGGCCGGTCTATTGGGTATAGCAATGGTACTCCCCAAAACTCCTTGTTGTTATGGTAGTAACACTATACATGCCCCCAAGATCCTACTGGTTATTGCAAGGTTCCGGGACTTTGCCTTGGTGTTGCCCTGCTCTCTGTCGTTTACAAGCCATGGCCGTCGATTTGCGTGAGCGTTTGACCGACACCGCTGGATTCGCGTTAAGAAACGACGTGCTGTCGGAAACACAGGTCCTGTTGACGTCTATGTTGGGCCTCATGCAGGAGCAGACTTTGTCTTCAACATTGTTATGTCCGGTGATCCACCGCTTACCTGAGCAGCTTTGCGGAAGCTGGTTTGCGACGCTAGAAGGCCAGCGGGCAAAGGCATTTCTGGATGCCGGGGGCGATTCTATGGTCCAAGACAAGATGTGGTATCTGATGCTTTTGGACAACTAGCCGTCAAAGAAGTCTTGAGCTACCTGGGTGTTTCCAGATTTCGCACGATGGCCTTTGAACTCATACCTTTCGGTCCAGACGCGAAGAGAGGTGCATCCGTGTTCTTTGGATGCACGTGGAAGCTTCTGCAGCAGGCGACAAATTTGCAGCCACGCACCCAAGAGTACGTGCCGAAATGCTTCCCAACTCATAATGTAAGCCTGGAGTTACTGTGGTCGATATATAATATGGCGATATTTCTTGCTGCGGTTATACATATTGCAAGATGGTTCAACAACTGCGTTCAGGCTCAGGAACTTTCAAGGTGCCCACAAGGTCGAGCCTGAGGGACACAACGATGCCGTCGGTCCACGCTTCGATGGAGGACTTACAGTGCATGAGGCAGTTTCATATGGACACCTCAACACACCGTGGCATCTGGCGTCTGTCTGGGGCTTTCAAACCCTTCAGCCCTCACCTCCGCCCTCAACATCTCTCGACTTGGAATCAGTATCAGAAGAATTGCTCACTCGGACCCTCCACCTCCAGGCTTTGACCTTCCAGCCTCTTTTCCAGGTCCTCCCCACCACCGCACCAGGCCCAGCCCCAGCCCCGCCTTCCACCCTTTGCCCTTGATCTCATCTTCATCTCTCTCTTTTCTTAGTCTTCTTCCTTTACACGTATGCCCCGACCCCACCCAGCACCGCGCATAGCCCAGCTCATTACAATTGATTGCTGATCCGAATTAAAAAGTTTCGTCATTTATCATTCCCCAGCCTCTCCACTCCCAGCCCCCAGCCCCGCACCCAGCCCTTTCCACACCTTCGCCCAACCCAGCCCCCACTCCAGCTCAACAGCTCGCACCAGCCCACCCCTCCCCCTATCCCGCCTCCAGCCTCGCTCCACTCCTCCTTCAGTCTGGCAGCATCCACCCAGCCATCCAGACCGAGCGCGTCAGCCCCATGAACAAAACTGCAAGGTTGCTTGTAAACCCGTGTCCTCTTTCAACAATGAAGCTGCAAGGTTTTTGTTAAGACCAAGTCCTCAACAACAAATCTGCAAGATTGTTTGTCAACTCTTGTCCTCCTCCAGCAGGAAAACTGCAAGGTTGTTTGTAGACCTTGTTTTCGTGCAACAACAAAACTGCAAGGTTGTTTGTAAACCCTTGTCTTCCTCCAACAACAAAACTGCAAGGTTGTTTGTAAACCGTTGTCCTCCTCAAAGGACGAGACAGACATGAAACACCTTCTTGATGGCTCCGGGCGTGAGGGACGGGAGGACTTTGTCATATCGCCTTGATGGCTTCTTTGTTGGATTTCTTTGACTGCAAGCTTCCAAAGGGGCATAGGGTAGATGGGGGGGTGGGGCGCTCGTCCGATTGTCAGGGGATCTGCAAACCCACATCCTAAGCCTGAGTGCTGCACCAATGGAAAAACTTCCACTGCGAGAATCCGTGCACAGAGCGGGATACGGTCCGGCTTTATCTGGGCTGGAACTCAGGTCGATGAGAATTACGCGCAATGGATGTGAAGCAAGACTTAAGATTGTCTCATTCAGGCCAGCAGCTTCACATTCATGCACCAAAGCTCAGCAAGCTTGGGTTTGCATTTAGCATGCGCGTATGCATGTGCGAATGTACGTATGTATGTATATTTGGTATGCATGTACATATTTGTATGTTTACAAATGCGTGAGAGATATGCAGCTATAGTGATATGTGGCATGGACCTTTAACATTATTTGGTGGTCCTTTCGGTTTTCGATTCAGATCGTGACATGTTACATTCGAAGATCTGTGGTTTGGGGCTTCGGTTTTTGGTGGTTTCGGGTCTTGTTGTTTTGGGTTGGACTTGGTGCGGGCAAGTCCCAAACACCTTCCAAGCTCCAACGAGGAGCTTCAGGAACCTCGACCCACGAGAGATTGGCATTTCCGCTTCTATCGAAGCAACCAAAAATCTCAACCCACCCAGTACCCCCAGACCGCAGCAGCCCAGCCCCAACTTGAGAGCAGGGCCAGGCAAGTGGAGCTCAGCACAGGCCCATAGGATCTCATAGGAGTTTCTGCGAAAATCTGACAAGCCACCGACAGAAAGTTCATCAGAAACTGGATGGGGGGACTAGCTTCAGCGAGCCGTTAGCCCGCAAACCCCCAAGACTCGCGAAGCTCAGGAAGCTCATCAACGACTATGCAGCTGGGGGTGGCAAGGATCCACGGCCTTGAAGCGCATGAAAGGCTTTGCACTCCACTCCTCAATCTCCCGACCTCACGCCCTCAACCCGAAACCCTTGCGTGGCCCCTGCGCAAGGATAACGAAGTGTACCACGTCATAAGGGCTTTAAAGTTGTAAACATCAGCACGCCTTTTCTGCGCTCGGGGTGCGAAGACAAGCTTCGTGATTTCGCGGCCTTCCCTTTCAGCAGCTCGCTAGTCGTTTCCATTTAATCCCGAACCCCTTTCTTTTGCCCGACATCACGACATCTCTTAGTTGGCGCATACTGCGCATCAGCATGATCGTTACGATAACCACGGTACCTGTAAAATTACCTCAGGCGTTGGGAGCCGCATGCTCATGATACTGACTTGGAAACGGGACTAAGAACAGCAGGTATCGGAGTCTCGAGAAGAAGCATTGTACCAGTAGGGACTTTGGCGTGTAAATATATGCATACACGTACGTACACACCTGCATACTGAAATGCGTACATTTACATTATTGTTCGATACATTCTGCTACGTACATACATACATGCATACATAAATACATACATACATACATACATACATACATACATACATACATATACATACATAAATACATACATACATACATACATACATACGTACGTACGTACGCACCTACTCTCACATACATACATCGCATATGTATATATATATATACACACGCAGACATACATGCATGCACTCCTGCATACATACTTGTAGTTTTATGTAAGTGCATGTGTGTAGCCCGGCAAAGCCTTGTTCGAGTTGTTGATGCCCTCATACTTTGGTGGGGTCTTAGTAGATATGCAAACAACAGCAACCTTCCATGAGTTTCAGACCTCCCGGGGGTGTAGGGTAAGGACGCTCAGCGTTCGGGCTCGTGCCCTTTGGTTCCATGTCTCACATACGCCCACCGGCGTGTCGGTTTGGGGAAGTCGCTGACTACATGGATTCCCTGCACTGATGTAGTGCTCGGGATGGCAGCGCTCGGTCTTCATTCACAGACACCCCCACGGACGGACGGACAGAGATCCAAAGATTCTCGGTGAGCATCCTTCCCAAACTGCTGGGAGTAGGCAAGTGCCTGGATCTCAAACCTCGCAAACCGCGGCTTCACGTCGCGAAAATGGCTGCCCGCGCGAAGTGCATTGGGGCACACTAGCATGTCTGCAGACAGCTTGATAGCCCTGTCAAATAAATTGGAGTCATCCTGGTGGCGCATGGGAACTTGCCAAACGCAAAGACACACGCGACTTCTAAGTTCCACACCGAGGGTTCGTTGGAAATCTTTGCTGTTTGTGCATCTAATAACACCTAATTGTGCATATCGGTCCGCGGTCTTCTTGGATAAAATTAACCTTTATATTTTGGTAGGAAGTGCGCAGATTTCTACACAGAACCTTGCAAATGTACGTCAGATTCTCGTCTATAAAATTCAGTATGTGGCCAGATAGGAAGCACAAAGATGTTCGAGATAGAACCTTGCATCCCCTGCCACACTGTAGTGGAATCCAACGCACATGTCGGTCAGATGTCTGCCTTGCTCAAACTCGGAACCTAAACACTGTTAGCAGACCCCACTGTTTTGGCAGGATTCAGTCACTCCAGAGAATGCAGTTAAGGGCTTCGGGGAGTATCGTTTTGGCATTGGTGCCTAGGGTTTTTAAGGTTGTGAGGGTTCATTCAGGCTTAGGAGGTTAGGCTGAGTGATTTCAGCAGCTCCAATTCGAGGATTTGCAGGCTTGGTTCTGGTTCAAGCCGTGGAGAAATGGTACTGAGGTACTGAGGCTGTGACATGCGAAGAACACTGAAGAGACAGCTGCCCCACCATTCCCCAAGCACACCCGCAGTCCTATGCAAAGGCCAGGCGGCACCTGGAGGTCGTTTTCGATGCAGGGCTCCAGTCTTGTTGTAAGGACGAGGCCGCGATAACAAGACCGTGAACTCCGCCAGCTCCAGCCCTCGCTTTGTCAAGCCAGCCAAGACCAGAACATCAAAGCTGACGATCGGAATAAAAGCAGCAAGCCAGTAAGGCCACTCAGAAGACGACCTTTGAAGGAACCGAGACAGCCCTTAACGTAACATGGCTGCCTCGCACCGGCTGGTCAACGATGCGAAAGGCGGGACAAGTCATCATAATGGTACCAGCTGATGCAGGGTCTGAGCCCGGGTTCAAAATTGGTAGCAGGACCAGGGCCAAGCACTTCAAGCACTTGTTTTGGCCACTTGGGAATGCAGGGATGAGCTTTCAGCGGATAAGACTGGTGAATCCGTCAGAAGCTTGAAGCTTGAAGTTTGGTTAGGTTTCATGATTTGGGTCGAAATTCGAGACTGGAAAGACCCCAGCCTGCTTGAGGCAAAGTTGTTCATTGAATTCAACTTGGGGCCTCTTGCTCGATGTTTCTTTCTGGATCTGGCGACAGAGTAGAGCAAGTAGACAGCAAGTCATCAACGGCTACAGGCCCTGTTGTCGCCGGGAAGTCAGGCAGATTGTTCGATGGCAGAGCACAAGTGTTGTTGATCATTTCTCGCCCCTGTTTTCATGCGACATCGTGCTGATAGATTTTGACTTGGCACCTCTTTGGCCAGGGGAGGGGTTGCGATCGGCAACCTTGAGAGCCTTGCCCCTGAAGCTTCCGCCGAGATCGAGCGCTGGCTCTGACTGACCGCATTGCCAGCTGTGGTCAGGCTTCCGTCCATTCGGGGATCTAGGTTCGGGATAGTTCGGGTACCACAGGGTTTAGGGTTTCAGTGGTTGGGTCGCTCCATGGGAGCATCACAGGTTTCACAAGGACAA